TTCTTCCAAGAAAACTCATAGAAAAGAATTCTCTACTGTCAACTCAAGGGATAACTATCTTTATCTTGTAAACAGAGTCTTGTAAACAGATAAAGAAATCACATCTCTTTATCTTGCAAGAAAAATATTTAGCCAATGGCAGCACCAATGTAACTATGAACATAAAATAACAGAGTGACTCAAGGCTGTATGTGACATTGTAATTCTCACCATTATCCCCACATGACACCTTTTTCATAGGAACACACTCAATACATCAACCGCCCCTCTTCTGAAAACCTACCTCATGCCTTTCTCTTGTCTATACCCTTAAGGAATAAATTTTCCTTCAACATTTCTATCCAATAGTTCCAAAGCATTAAGTGTCCCTGTGTATTATAATTACTCTGTCATTAGAAATAAACACCATGTCTAAAACAAGGCAAGTTTTGATTTACGGCATAGTAGTCTAAGCCAAACTGACCCAGAAAAGTAAACAGCCTTTTCATTATAAAAGTGAATATCCAGAAACCGACAGTTGAGAACAAGCCTGCTTTCAGTGCATTTGTAAGCACACCTATAAAGTGACTTTTGTTAGGATGATTGCTAACTCAAAGCCAGCAAGTGATGCCAGTACACAGACTAGAGACACACAACCACGGCAGAGAACAAAGAGTAAAGGCCACATAATCAGCTTTTTCATGAAGTTTTGTTAACCAAAAGGCCCAGCTCAAACATTACCTCTGCTAGAAGGTTTTTTCCACACCTCATGGATGCAGTAACCCACCATACTTTGCTAATTTCTCATTTGCATCCTATTTCAGCATAAATCATATTCCACATGACCCCTGAACAAATGCTTGATCGTTCTAGGTGTTTCCATGCTGAGAACTCAACAGGTATGACAGCATTTTCTTAGCTTGGAGACTCTTTTTTTTTTACCCTCCGTGTCTGCTTCCACACCTGGCTAACCCCCTCTTTGTGAGAATTGAATGTTTCCTGAGTGACAGCATGGATCATTTCATTCATTCTCCTCATAATAATCATGTGCCCTGCACAGGAAAGCTAGATATGATCGCTTCATGTTTACATTAAAAAGAACTAGATTAGAATGTAATATGACAACATCCCCTGGCCCCCGCCAAAGTCTCTCAGCTAGTAAGTGGGTGCTCTGGAGCCCACTGTACTTGAGAATGATGCTGATGAGAATAACAGACTGAGGCGATTATTAGCATAACCCTGGGGATGAAACATAGAAAGAAAAAAGCCAAGCTCTTCCTTTGCTGAGATCTGGATCACTAAGCCTGTGATCTCTATGTAAACTGGCTTCATGGGAAGGAAGAAGCTCCTATGAGATAGGGCTAACACCTTCAGATGAAAGGCACCTTAGGAGCCTGCACTCCCTGAGAAACAAGAATTCTTTCACTGAAAGAACTTTCATACCTGCTTATTCTAGAAAGTCATGCTGTGTCTCCATTCACTATGGAAAACGCTGCCTGTGTGCAGTCCCCACTGGGGATGGCACATTGCACTTCCTGCTCAAGCAGGACATCAGGCTCCAGATACACTAGAATCAGGTGCCTTTTAGACTCTGCTTAGCTAGCTTAGCCCAGTGATTCAGCCACCACGTCAGCAGGAACCTACCGCGGCCCTGCCATCTCTTCCGCCATCCCACAAAGGCCAGCAAGACAAATGGAACTGATGGGATAATGAAGTTCTAGAGAGTTCACTAGTGTCCCTCCAGGGATGCTCGGGACAGCTTTAGGAAGAAGGGACGCAGCACCCAAAGAAACAAATCAAGTCTAATTACAGGGAAAGAAATTGGAAGTGAATTTTCCCAATATGCCAAAACGCCCTGGGTGGTGGCATAGGCCTGTAATATCTCAACACTTCGGAGGCTGAGGCAGGAGGATGCTGAGTTTGAGGCCAATCTGGGCTACTGAGTGAAACTATGGGCTCAGAAAAAGAAGCAAAACTAAAAGTGGACATAATGGACAGGTACAGTATTTGCAAAAATAATTTAGCTTGCAGGCTCTGAGACACAAGCAGGAACTCATGATACTGCCGCAGGAGGTGGAGTCCCCTGTGACAGAAGAGAGGAACGCTGTTCCGGCATTTATAGACTTTCATCTGGTGGAATATAAAGTCCAGTACCCAGTGGTGAGCAAAACCAGACTGTCAAACCAGATAACAATGCACATCAGCACAATTCTTATCATCCCGGCTCCCAAAGTGTGAGACAGCTACAGAAGAAGAGCCTAGCTTCCGCATAGTAGTCTCTCCCAGAGCTGTGCACCCAGAGCACACCAAGAGCCTACGGAAATAAAACAGACCGCAGTAAAAATAGAAGCACTAAGTCAATGATTACGGGACTTCACACCTAAGTCTTAGGGAAGCACCTGTGAGCAAGGGATCTCCAGGAAAAAGGCACAGAGCCATTCTCCATCTGGCGTGGCTCACCTTCTCTTCACAGTCTAAGCCCAGACACTACTGCTGCTATTACCAACTTCAAACTACAAGGCTTCCTACAGAATTGGATGGGGAGGACGAAGCAAATTCTTTTAAAATTAAAAATGTCACATGTTGTCTTTGGATTGTTTAAAACACTGCTGGTCTCTTACCAAATTCTGACTCACAACAATCACACCTGGAAACATCCAACTCACATGGTAACGCTATAAACTGGCACACTCAATGTCATAATCCCTTCATCTGGGGCTTCCTTTTTCATACACAGAAACTTTTTTCATCACGGAATATATCCAAGAAGATGGAGCTAGGGACCACCTATCATGTGACATGAAAGCAGAGGTGGGGGGGTGCTATTTGCTGGGGGGGAGGGGACCCACGAACAGGGATGGGGGAGGGCAGTGTAGAGAAGGATGCAAACAAGGTATAATGATATATACATATTAAAATGCCATAATGAAACCAGTTAATATGTATCCTAACTCGAAATTAATTTAAAACCGAAAAGGAAGAGATTTTCCAAAGACTACCAACTCCAGAAGAATAAAGACTTTAATCCTCACAATCAAACGAGTTCAGATCCTCAAAGTATTTAAAGATCTAATCCAAGTCTTGACCCAGAAAGCATATGTCAATCACTGGAAACATGGGATGGGAGCGAAACTGCTAAGTGCCATCAGGAAACTAATGGCCAGTGTAAATAAATCCCTAGTAATTCTAGGTGCCTAGAGCAGCCCCACCAGGGGCCTGACAGCCCAAGGGTTGGGTCATCAGCATTTATGAAGATCAATTAATGCTCTATATTTTCAGATGTCACATTTCTCATAAGGTTTGCTATAATCCTCTTTTAAATATCCCCATCATACAAATCAAGAAAGTCAGAGACAAAGGGACTTAATGGAGTTTCTATTGCTAAGAGACTCAGAACTTACACTCCTCACCTAACTTACAGTCTACGGCTGCATCCATTGTTGTGAGCAGCTGTCATTTGAATGTATATTTATTATGTGTCCAGCTCTAAGCAATTTACAAACATTTTCCATTTAATCGGACCACTGCCACCTAAGAGCCTACTGTCTCCACTCTACAGCTGACGATCCTAAAGTCAGAGGAGCTGAGTAACTTGACAGATCATCCAAGAGTAAGGGGAAAGTCAGGACCTGACTCACGCGCCACGTGACCCCACAGTCCAAGGTGCATTTCCTTATCAGCCTCTTCTATTTACCAATCACACCATAACTGAACAGAATCCAAAGGCTGGGCTGTGACAGTCATTGCCAGCTTCCGTCTTACCAGTGGACATCAGGCCCTGTCCACATTCATACCTGCTGGACATGAAATACTGCAAAAAACAGACTAACCAATTACTTTAATTATTGTCCAATTCTTTGACAACCTTCTCCAATAATGACAAATTTTAGATCATCTTGGGGTTTAGAGCAGTTTTCAATACACTAATAAGTTTCCAAGATGCTCAGAAGGATCCATTTATTCCACAATGCTTAAACTGCTAGCTCTGCCCAGTCATTGATAAAATAGAAAACACAACAACCTATCTCCCAGGGCTTCAGTATAGGATTTAAGGAAGGTCATGTATGAGCTTAGCTTCAATGCATATAATCGCTCAAAACTGTTAAAATCACACAGCACTGCTTTGGAATTGGATCTAAAAAGTAAGAAGGTCCTTTTAGGTTCACTGAGAATAAAATAATAAACTCCCCAGGGAATAAATTCTAATTGTGTTGTGCTAAATTAAATCCAGCCCTGGAAACCAGCTCCTAAAGTTAGGGCAGATCTGATATGCTACCTGATTTCCAAACAAAACGGATGCCCCCTCCCACCTTTTCCTAAAAAGAAACAAAAAAATTACAAAGTATCTCTCAGCCTAGGAAAGGTTTAAGAAAGAGCTGCGGGAATTAATTAATGGTAAAAGAGAAGGAACAGATACAGGATAGTCAAACAGGGAATAGGAGAAACATGGTAACTCACTAAAAATAACTCCATCACAAAAATTAAGAGGAAGCTGTACTGAGGTGAAATGTCTAGTTAGCTCGGGATGGAAATTTCCACAAACCAAAAGAGGAAGACTCTAGCAGAAGACGTGCCTATTTAGAAGGTACCTCTCTCCTCTAAGCCACTCCAAAGGAAGCAAGCGGAACTGCTGAGGAGGCTGAGCTAAACAGACAGACAGCACCGAGACTCTTTTTTATGTTCAAACATAAGGAGACACCTCTCCAGGTCTCTGACATCGGTATTCTAACGGAAATGCTAAGCCACTCCAGGACTCGACCTTTTTAGAGAAGCTGGAAGCTGGCTAGCCTCTTAGCCAGGTCTCTTTCATTGAACAAAGGAAGAAAAGGTTTCTGTTGTATGACAAAACTTTTTCTGGGGAGACACAACCCATATGTCTACATACCCCAGACAGGGATCCCACAACAGACCAAAGTATGGATACCACCTGAGTCCTGCGTGGTGGTGAACTGGTAAGTTTTACTGGGGTTACTTACAGGAGTATGGATGAGGAGTTACTTACAGGGGCAGACATGACTCACCAAGGCCCACCCCAGCATGGATGACAGCTCACGATGCTGGGAAACCTGAAGCACACTGCACAGCCTGCAGGCAGCTCGACAGGTCGTAAAGTGTCCCTTCCAAGTGACTGGTCTAACTCTGACAGGCAGCTCTGTTGGTTTCTTGTCACAGCTTGGCTTATCTGAGAGTTGTCCTCTGCTTAGCTGGTCTGAGTCGTCTTTGCAGCTTTTATTGCTGACTCTAGCAGGGAGGAGCCGAGTGAATCTGGTCAGTTTCAGGGACTTCCACAGGAGCTATTTATACCTTCCTGTTTAAAGAGCTTCCCTGGAGGATGGAAGGTTTCAATCTCAGTTTCTTAGTAATGTTTACCAGAGTTAAGAGTAATTGCTGAATGCATAACTTAAGGGTACCTTTAAGTGACACACTCTTCACAATCCCCGCTCCCCACGCTATCCTGTCTACACACACACACACACACACACACACACACACACACACACACACACACACAATTACACACAGTTTTGGAATTGTAGCCTTGCAAGTATTAGAAACATTTCTCCTACTGCCTTGCTATACAGAAGCAAGTATAATTTCTTAGTAAGTTTCTTTGAAGAAAACTTACTTTGCTCAAGGCAAGTATGTAGACAAATTCTTTAATTAAACAAACAAACAAAGTAAGTGGAAGTGTTTTCTGATGCTGCTGATTTTGAAGCAAGTTTTCCAAAGCCATCAGTATCTACTGTGGAGGAATCAGAAATCACGTCCTATCACTCTATCCCCCCAAATCATTCTAAAATCCATCTTAGTGTCCTCAAAAGACTCAGCCCCACCAGAACTGGGGGAGCAGAACCAGGAAACATGTCTAATATGATTCCTCAAGTCATGGTATCTGGAGAAACCAATTGACTACACCAAATGAGCGAACTCTTAATTTCCTTTTTTTTCTAAATCAACCACAAGAAAGAAAAACCCTTAAGGGATCATTAGATTCCATTTTTATGCTACTTTTCTTTGCATCATAACCTTAACTGCCCTTGTAACTCTGAACACATAAAATGATGTCCCATTACAAATGCTGAATGACCTGTCTCTGCTCACAAACTGTCGAATTGGTCTCAAGTAGTTTACAAATCTTATTAACAGTTTCTATTTTAACTAAATCACAGAATGTAATCCTGCCTTCCTGGGTGTAATACATATAGCAGAGAGTAGGTTTAGAAAAGGAGGGAGGGAGGGAGGGAGGGAGGGAGGAAAGGAGGGAGAGAGGGAGGGAGGGAGGAGGGAGGAAAAGGAAAAGAAAAGCTTTTCAGGGGAATGTGATAATCAGGTCAAACAGTGCTTTAGAGTCTGGGCAGCCCTGGAGTAAGGTCCAGCTCATCACACACAATCCTAGCACCCTCATTAGTGTTGATGCAGAAACCAGGGCCTCCAGAGATGAGGCAAACCTGTCTGTACTGGTTCTTCTCCTCAGTGCTGTGACATTATCTGGGGGGAACGACTTAAGGGCAGGAGTGCATCATGACGAGAAAAGCATGACGACAGCAGCACGTTAGCCCACGGCAACAAGAGCATGAAACTGTTGATGGATGGGAAAGCAGAGAACGGGACCATAGGTGAAACCAGGCTACGGCCTGTACAGGGAGCCTCTACTGGCCCATCCATAAGCTAGGCCCTGTCTCCCACAGCTTCCATGATCTTCTCTGACAGAACCACCACAACCCTGCTCCAGATCCAAGAGTTAACCAGTGTCTGAACCAGGATTCAAGCCAGACTGATGTGCAGAAACAAGCCAGGGACAGAAAAATAACATTCTTGATGATGTGTCGTGATTGCAACCCAATGACTAGCCTCTGTCATCTGTGTTTGTTTTGGGGTGTTTTTTTTTTTTTTTCGTCAGTGCTAAGATCCTTGTCGCATTTAAGGTGATCATGTTCTCGTGCCTCTCTTCCAGGTGCAGAAAGCTTTGCAAGGGACTAAGGTACTACAGTTTGGGTCTGGAATGCCTCCCAAACACCTACATTTTAAAGGATTAATCCCAGCCTGGCACTACAGGGAGGTGGTAGATACTTTAGGAGGTGGGGCCTAGGTGAAGGTTTTAAGGTATTTATGCCTTGGAAGGGATTGTGGGATCACAGCTCCTTCCTCTTTCTGTCTCTCACATGAGTCATGAGGAGAATGAGCCTTGTTTACCATGTGCTCTTGCCGGTTAGAACTGCTTACCTCAAGCAACAGTGATCATCACCAGTGGACTGAAGCCTCCCAGACTCTGGGCCAAAATAACTCTCTTCATACGTTGACTGTTGTGTTCTTTTTATAGCACAAAGGTATTCAAGAACAAAGCACCGTCCCTATCCTCAAGGGGTGCACCGCCTAAAACAGGGGTGCATCTCATCCTCAGTGCTTCCAACCAGAGGGCCACCAAGAGATGTGCAGACGTATCACCCTCTGCAACTTGTACCCTAGTCCTGGAGGCCAATCCGTGCCTGGCCTTGAGCAATCTTGCCCACTCACTCAATACATCATGCTAGGATAACTGCTCTCTGTGTATGTGTGCTGTGTGGTGAACGCTGGAAGCGTTACACATGCAGAGGGACCCATCTACCCTTCCAATACCATGTCATCCGAAAAGAGAAAGGCAGGGGCTTCCCTGGGCAACAATAGAAGCCCCGAGACGGCTTCCAGCTCTTGAACTCCCAGCACAAGGGGAAAATAAAACTGGCCTCTCCATGTGGCACCCCCTGAAAGCCAGCAAGTACGGAGTGTTGAAATGAGCAAAGCCCTTCGTCACACTGACCTGGAGGAACAAGTCAGCTCCTCGGCGCTACTAAGAACGTGAACTCTAACCTTCTCCTTTTATTTGAGTTTAATTTTTAAAATTTACAGTTATTTATTTATGGTGTGTGTGCCTACACGCACTTGAATAATCATTTCATCAGAGGCCAGCTTGAGGGAGGTAGTTCTCTCCTTCTACCATGGGGGCTCCAAGGATCGAAACTCAAGTTGTTAGGCTGGGTGGCAAGTACCTTCCTTGGCTTGTTGAACCATCTCTCTAACATTTCTTCTTTTTGATCACCGGGGAAAGTTCATAAGATGGTGCTGGTGTTGTAGATTACATGTAAGCTCCCACTGGCCCCCACCAAGCAAGCATACATGCAGCCTGACACCTCCACGTCTCCTGTCCAGCCTCACCCACAGCTGCTCAGTCTTTACACTCAGGGTGTGACACCAGGAGACAAGGTTCTCAAGCAATAGAGGCACCAAACCCAGGGCGTTCGGACATGAGGTGAAGCCAGCCGAGGGAGGTGTGGGAGAAAGCTCGAGTTAGACAAGGAGTGCCTTATCTCCTCCTGCTGTTTCAATAACAAGAGCTATCACGGCTCTTGATTTCATACTTCAGGTCAATTCTCTGGGTTCCCTTTAGGGAAAGCTTGATTCAAATACCAAATCCCATTTATGCTTACAGGACAGTGTTTGTATCCTGAAATGAACAACTGTTGAAATGCATGTGTGTGGTTGTGTGTAATGGGGCGGGGGGGTTACTGAAATCCTTTTCATGGTGAGATTCAAACATCCTGGTATTCTGAACAACAACAACAAAAAAACAAAAACAAAAACAAAAAAATTCAAGTGGATCCCATTGCCACACTCCCATCTAGTCTCTTCTTTTCTACAATGGGCAAAAGAGGCTCCAGGTAGCCAATTTCCCATGGCTAACTTTCCCCTACCCTTCAGGTCTCAATACAAAACTCCTGGCTGAGAAGGACCTTCCAAAGCATGTACCTCAGCAACTGGGCCAGACAATCTACTGCCCTAGTCTGTTGACCCTACAGCACTTACCAGTTCTGAAATGTTTATATGAAAATAGTTCTTCTCTGGGTTATGGCTGCCACTCACTCTTAGGACAAGGTGTCCCACGACACCAAGACCTTCTGTGTTGTTCTCAGCTGTATTCCCAACCCAGAGATTGGTGTCTGCCATTGGGATGTGTTCAATAGAATGTTTACAGAGTGTACACATGAGTGACCATCATGTACACAGACTACACTCTACCCCTGCCTGCCACCAGAGAGGAACCAGCAGACCTCGGACACCAGTAGAGGTCAAGAAGAAATAGGAAAGCGGTGCTGCCTGTGCCTCGTCACCCTTCAGACTTCACAGGATAGAAGCACACACTTTGTGGTCTGCCTTAGGCAGCATTGATCCTGAACAGCAGTGCAGAAATTCTGAAGTTGAACAAAGGTTTAAAAAATAAAGATTCTAAACCCTGTCTTTGGATGCCAACTAGGATCATGAAAACATCAAATTTGGACTCAAGACTCTTGTTCTCATCACTAAATGTAGCAAAAGCAGAAACGGGAAATTCCTAATTACCTCAAGGATTTGGCAAACCTCTCATGTTTTCCATGCAGGACTACAGCGCATACCTTAAATCACCAAAAGCCTATGCATTCTGCAAAGGCATGGGGCTGTATTTTTCCTCCTTCCTCACACAGGCACCAGATCTTAAAAGAAGGAGTGATGAATGGGCATAGTTATAAATATTCCAAGGCTAATGGGAACAAAGATGGACTGCAGAACACTGTTTGGGGGACAGATGCTGGTGTGAATGTAGTTAACAGGTCCTGACCCCTATAAATTCCAGACCTGTTTTATTAGATAAGAAAAACAAAACCAAGAAGCATTCATAAATTACTTTACAAACTCAAACTTCACCAGATATTAATTTTAAAAAATCTGCTTTTCAAAATCCTAAGTAACTGACTAATAATTAAAATATATGTTACTTTTATGGTCCTTTTAATGAAAGGATTGTTACTTCATTAGCAGTGAGAGAAAAAGAAACATTAAGTTCCTACGAATAATATGATATATCATGCCTGAATGACAATTAGCAAGTCCTCTGAGTAAGGACTTAGAATGGAGGAATCCACTAGAATTGAGTGAAAAGTTTCTCATTATATGATAAACATTCACAAGATCACAGATTATAAACTGATGCTGCCTAGGGTTGTCAAATTTGGCACACATACACACACACACACACACACAAATCTCCAGATAATTTGAATAATGAGTGTATTAATGGTAGAAAATGCTTTAAGTATAAGTATATCCTAAAGCAGATCCTACTGGATAGACCTACATAAAAAATTACTTTCTAACTAATATAAGTAAAAACATATTTGTATTTTTTATATATATACTGTACATTGCCTGCTAAGCTTAGTGCTGTCCGATGGCTACGCTAAGCTGCTAGAACATTCTAACATTTCAGCTGAATATTAGGACAGCAGATCCCTGTCAGTGCCTTGAGTTGCCCT